ATGACAATGGTAATTCTGGACCATTGTTAACAACTAAAAATTTGATGTGTAAAAAGAAATAAAACTGAATTTTGAAACTTACCTCTTTCTGCCCAAACATTTACACTTGACAACCAATTTAAACTTAGTAACCTACATACCAATAAACTACCTATCTCCCTGTGTTGTCTCTATGGATACGCAACAAAAGGGAATTAATTTGAATTGTTTTTTTTTTGAGTGATTGACTGTTAACACTACTGAGTTTGTCATGTTGAAAAGAAAGAAAGAAAGAAAGAAAGAAAGAAATGTACTAAGAAAGAAAGAAAGAAAGAAAGAAAGAAAGACATGTACTAAGAAAGAAAGAAAGAAAGAAGGGTGTGTGAAAATAACTATGACTAAACAACTGCCTCCATTATTGTTATTATTGTTGTCGCTCGTCTTCTTTTTTTTTTGAAGACCAGTTTACATAACTTTCTTTAAATTATTTTGACAGTAATACTGAGTACAGCAGAACATAAGAATGAAGAAAAATGTCATTCAGAAACTAAAAAATGTATTAAGATACAAGAATTGATTGTATCTGTCTATATTTCTGAGATGAGGTATTATGTACACTATTTACATTATTTGGACTATTGTCCTCATCTTCGTCACCATATTTATTACAACGTTTTGGCCATTGTATGCTCTGGCCTTCTTCAGGTGGTTGGAATGTCGAACTGAACCCTTTATTTCGCTCATTTGGGTAGACTGTTCTAGTTCCACATGCCATGTTTAATAGATGTCAGTTATCAGTTATCTCCTGTTAATTCCCCTCTGAAAATTCTCCACTGCCTTAACCGGTTATTGAACTCACACTCTTTGGATCTAACCAATACCTTTATCCACTGTGCCAGTGGAATTGACTGATTTGTTTTCCATTTGAGCTTATTAACCCTTTGTGAGTTATTTAAAACCAATATATTTTTAGGATTTTAAGAATAATTTTGTAACAATTTTTTGCAGATAATTTTTCCAGATAAAAATGCTACTCTTAGCTACCTGTAGCTGAGTGAGGAACTGGACTCGTACCTTTCCCATGAGTATTTGTGCGTAAATGAATGTAACAAACCTGACTGGAATTTGAACTTGGCACTCCGATTTCTTTATCTGGGCTGCTATACATTACACCATCAACATATCAACAAGAGATAGGAATATGTCCTTAGAAACAAAGAAAAGAGTTCTAAACCACTATCTAATATTTAATCTCCTATATGCCAGTGAATGCTGGACAACACTTACATAGATGAAGAAAAGACTTAAAGTGACAGATATGTGATTCTACCAACAAATGCTGAGAATACAATACAGGGTGCATATGAGCAATGATTAATTTGTTTTTTTTTATGGCTTATCACCCCTTTGCAGCTTATTTAAAGCTAGAAAATATTTTAGATTGTAAGAATTTCTTTTTTTGGGGGTAGATAATAATGATTTAGTGAGACAAGTCTTTACTAATTAACCCACAGCTGGGGGGAGAAGTGGTGAATTCATATCTAATCAGAATTTAATTAACAAACACGGTTATAATATAGATATAAAGAGGGATCAATTCTATATTAAAATCAATATCTAAACTAATCCCTCACTTTGTGATCATGGCAGTTTCTATACATTTATATTCTTGAGAATGTAAATAAATCTAAAAGACATGCCTGTGTAGCTAATCAGTATTTGATTAATATCTTTACACAAAGGTTATTTAAAGCCAAAAAATATTTTTAGATTTTAAGAATTGTGGTGGGGATAAAAATGATTTTATTGATACAAGTCTTACTAATTAACTTACAACTGGGGGGAGAAGAGGTGGATTCATACCTTTCCCAAGGGTATTTGTGCATAAGTAAATATAATAAACCTAAGGGGAAAATCAAAATTGACAGGTATTGTAGCATGTTGCAGCATGTAGGATGATAATGGGTATGTCTCTATTCACATAAATATGGTAGTAACTACTGTATGTTGGTCTGCAGCTGTACTGGTCAAACTCTCTGCCTGCAAGCAGAGGATCAAGTCTGGTCCTATTCATTTCTAGCTATCTATCTGTTGTAGCATACCTACAGACGATAATAGGTATGTCCCCATTCACATAAATACAGTAGTAAATACTGTATGTTGGTCTGCATTTGGCGATTCATTGTGGAATTCACTTGACTCACTTCTAGCAGTTGACTACTACTTCTACTTCTTATATGTGTTGTTCTTGTCCTAAGTATTATCATTTATTACCAACCTTCATGTGATTATTCTATTCAGTAACCTTCCCTAGGTTACAACAACAGGGAAGCAAGAAACCTGAAGAGAGTTCAACAATAATAGTATATTTTTCTGATATTCTTTAACACTCAGAACCCCCGTATGTATTAGTGGGTTTATTGCCTTGCTTGGGGTGAAATGATTAAAAACATCAAGTTTTCCTAAGAGTTCAAATAAATCCGTATATCTTAACTCTTCAGAAAGGACATCAGAATAATCCAGAAACTATACTGCAAACAAAGTGCTGGCATGTGGATAGAAAACAAATTGAGTAGGTACCCAAAAATAGAAACGGGCATAAGACAAGGATACATCTGTGATAAAGTAATCAGGAGTAATCTCCCTTGTTTTATGATTACCTCCCTTTGGAGAACCCTTTTGTTTGTCGAGGACTATACTTTGCTGGCATCAATTATTCTAAGCAGAATAAAGCTTCCTTAAGCCTACACTTGCTATCTCTTGTTATTATAACAACATCTTCCCAGATCTGTTCAACCAAAACAGTGAGGATATCTTAAGGGAGATGGAGATTCTACCAGGATTTAATATTGGGAGGTGCAATCTTAAAAGATGCAGACGACGCTGTGTTGATGGCTGACACGGAAAGAAAGCTACAGGACTTCCTAGACAAGGTAATAAAAGAAAGCAAGAAAAAAAAGCCCATCAACCATTGGATGACAGGAAGAATGGTTGTCAGCAAGAGAAAAAGCCCCAGACTTGAATTACAAATTGGAGATGTCAACATAAAACAAGTACAGAAATATCTGGGAAATATTTTAACAGAGGATGGAATATACAACACTGAAATTCAAACATGCATCAGATTAACATAAAGATGCATTCCAAAAGCTAAACAAAGCAGTAAGAAACAGGAAAAATTTCATTAGAAACAAAGAAAAAAGTACTGAATTGCTATGGGATATTAATTCTCATGTATGGCAGTGAATGCTTGAAGATCATTAATTGCAAGTTTCATTGTCTTTTGGGTTCCCTCTATAGCAGAAAAGGTATGTGAAATCAAAGAAATAAACAATCTTCAAACATGGCTCTACAAATTTAAATACATTTTATTATTAAGTATTTGTTTTCTTTCAAATTGAAAGAAACAAATTACAAAGATTTTTTGTGAAACAATTTCACACAAAAATATTTTTGTTTGTCTTTACAATACAATCAAAATAGTTGTGTTAGTATGATAGAAAAAGTATAAATTTATATTGTAAATGCTCTGTTTATAATAAACAGTATTAACTACATTGATTGGCCTTCTTATATACAGAGTATTTACTTAAATATTTGTATCTATAATAATAACATATAAACAGAAAATATCTTAAAATAATTGTCGAACTTTGTCCATTTCGTAGTGTGTGAAAAGAGAACTGAATTGCTATGTGATATTAATCCTCATATATGACAGTGAATGCTTGAAGATCATTAATTGCAAGTTTCATTCCCTTTGGCTTCACTATGTAGCAGAAAAGTTATGTGAAATCAAAGAAATAAACAATCTTCAAACATAGCTCTACAAATTTAAATATTTTTACATGTCTTTCTTTACAATATAATCAAATCAATTGTGTTAGTCTGATAGAAAAGTATAAATGTATACTTAACCTTGTCACGTATTTAATATATGTTGATAAAAAGAACAAATGACCAGCTTATTTTATTAAGTCACGAGTGGTGACCTGAAAATAAACTTTTTACCAGTAACCAACATAAATAAAAGATAATGCTAAGGCATATATATATATATATATATATATATATATATATATATATATATATATATATATATATATGTGTGGTGCAGTTCAATTTAAATCATTAACTTCTATATCTGTTTTTTTGTATGAATGATTCATTTAATATATATATACATACATACATATATATATATATATATATATATATATATATATATATATATATATATATATATATTATTATACAGGGTGTCCCAAAAGTTTGACATGATTTTAAAAGCAATTATCTTGAAAACTACTAAGTCTAGCTCAGTAAAATTGGACAGCAGTTTAGGTGTTCAACATCATAAGTTTATTCCGGGACTGATTTCATAAGTGTTCAATATGTGAACTGCATTTGCTAATTCCACATCCTGAATTTTAGGGTGGATTCATGGTATGCACTGTGACAGATTTTCTGTTTCTCTTGCCCTCAATTCCTAAGCAAGAACTATTTTTGATATGAAAATCAAAACAATCCTCAAATGAAAAAAGAACAGTAACAAAGGACAGTTAATTAATGAAATAAACTTGCCAAACACGCTGTAGCATGTCTCTGGCAATATTATCCAGTACAGAAGTGATTCTCTGCTTGAGTCCATCAATGATTACAGGGAGATGGGGGGACATAGACCAGTCCCTTCACATATCCCCATAAAATTTTGCATTGAAGGCACACTGCATTGAAGGCATGCTGCACAGTGTTGGGTGACTATGTGCAAGCAAATTCCAAGGTAGAAAAATGACTTCTCTTTGGGAGTGAAAGGCATGGCTCAATCTGAAAACAGAACAAAAATAAAACATTAAATATCTTGTCTGTTTAGATAGTCTCCAACCAAGAATGTTTCCAAATATATGACTCCCAATTCACTTTGTCTGCTTCATCCTTCAATCTTTGAATAAAAAAAAAAACAAAAACACTTGTTACCTGGCTACGATGTTTCCCATTCCTCCCACTCAAAGTTTTAGGCTTATGGTCACATCACATTGAAACACTGGTTCCTCTACAATCACCAGAGTTAAGCAACATTGAGTCTGGTCAGTACTGAGATTGGTGACCGTTTGAGAATACCAGGTGCTGTAAGTGTAGCGGATGGTCACCATTATGTTGGGGTGTGTACTACATATATTTATCTTTTGACTAGGAAAGGCATGATTAAGGAAAGCGAAGAAACTGGAAGTTACTATCCAATGTGACATGCACAATGCAATTTATATTCGAAGTAAAATAGCACATAGTATAAAATACAAAACAGAATGTAATGATTCAAAATATAACAATTGAATTTATTAATGTTTGGTGTACATGCATATAAGCTTGTAGTGACTACTACTATGTTTGCCACGCCTCCATTTTTCTCAACTGTGATTGATTAAATAATAAATACTAATTATCACAGGACAATTTACTGATCGCATTCACCACACTGAATTTTTCCTACCGTTAATTCACAAACATGCTTTTGTTATAAAATCACCGATTGGTTAATTTTTCATCCAATCAGATATTTTTTGTGTTCTTTCAAAATTTCTCCCGCCGTTGTTCTGAGAGCCTACTGGTAATAATAAAAGCCAAGTTTCATTCCAAAATTAGACAGTAGAACTCAACAACTCATACGCATCTACACAGACTATTCATTCTACTCACTGCGCACACACAGACACAGAACTTGAATATCATTCACCATCAATTCTCTGTGAACAAGCCAAGTTGGAACAGCACTGTTTGTTATACAATAACACACAACTGAATTTACTGTATGTTCTTCTGAATACAACATTCTATTTCAATACAGAACTTTGAACATTCTATTCAGAAAACTTACTTAATTACATTTCCTAACTCAGCTAACAGATAAAGGGAAACTACTTTTTTCTCCTTATTATTCACACATTACAAAAATTGTTTTGTATTTGTTGATTTTAATATATATTTTATCGTTGAAACAAAAATCGGTTTTCCATTGTTTTTCCTTGATTCAAAAATGTATAAATGTTAAATGCTCTTCAACACACAGCCGCATTAATGTTTTCAACACAACCAGCATTTACAAGCTGAAGGTTTGATAGAGTTATGACAATGTCAATGAATGCTTGTCGGTGGTGGTGTGATTCTACATAAGCTTGGATGTGCAGGTGGTGTAATGGATAATGGCACAAAATTGTTAATCAGAGAGCTGAGTTCCAATTCCAGTTGGGTTCATTATATTCACTTAGACACAAATAACCTTGGAAAAGGTATGAATCCACCAATCAAAAGAGATGTGCAGTGAATCAGCCTCTAGAGCAAGGATTTTCAACTAGTGGGGAATTTCCACCTAGGGATGGAATTTCAGGCTTTCAGGGTGAGGAGGGGAGAATTAAACTGGGATCAAAACACTATGAAAGTGTAAAAATAGACTTTAAAACCAGCAATACGTTTTTATAAAACAATTACCAGCAGTAATTTCTTGAAGAAAAATTTATTACCAGCAATACATTATTATCAGTAATACATTTTTGGGGAAAAAAAATATTACCAACAATACATTTTTGAAAGCAAAAACATTACCAGTGTAGTGCCACGCCTACATTTCTTCAATTTTGATTGGTTGATAAATACATACTAAAAATAATAGGACAATTTATCGATTGCATTTCACCATACTGAATTTTTTCCTACACTTTGCTCACAAACAAGTTTTGCTATAAAATCACTGATTGGTCTATTTTTCGTCCAATCGAGTATTTTTCGTGTACATTCAAAAATATATCCCGCGTTTGTGCTGGGAGCCACCCTAAGTAATATAAATATTGGATGCATTCCAAAAAAAAACAGTAGTAGTAGTTCCAGAAGCACAGTAGAGTACAGACCAGAGACAATAGATCTCAACTACTCACTCATGTTATTCATCCTACTCACTCCACATGTACATACACACAGATACAGAACTTTATTTGATACACCACCAGTTCTCTGTGGACATACTAAGTTGAATCAACTCTGTAAGTTGCAACAACTGAACAATTTCCTAAAAGAAATATTCTATTTCAACACTGAACTCTGAACTTTATACTCAGACAAATCTTCCTTAAAACATTTCCTTACAGTTAAAGGGAAGCTACTTTTTTTCTCCCTATTCACTCATATTACAACTACTTTGTATTATTGTTGAATTTTAATACAGTGTAACCCGGATATAAGAGAGTTGTCGGTACCGGAGAAGAAGTCTCTTATATCCGTGTTTATACATTAACACAGGCTCTAATTTGGGACCAGAGAAAATCTCTCTTATATCCGGGTTTCTCTTATATCCGGGTTACACTGTATATAGATATTTATTCGTTAAAACAAATTGGTTCTTCATTGTTTTTCCTTGATATGTATGAATGTTAAATTAAATGTCTTCTCAACACGCAGCCACATTTATCTAACTACTTCAACATTGGTGACTACCTTCAACGTTCAGATTAACATTCTACACCAGCAATAAAATTAAAAATCTTGTCGGCATTATGACATAAAACTAAGTAAAACAAACCAAACCATGTTTTTGTCATTCCAAATTAAAATTTGTATGGTGTATTTTTTTTACCCGATGTACATGCTGTTTTATTTATCGATAGAATATAAATGAAAGACAAATTTTTAATATTTTTATTAATCCTATTTCTTTATGGATGTTATAATTTTTTGTTTTACATATTCCAAAAAAATATAAAATTTGTACGGTGTATGCAGAAAAGATATTTTTCCTTGCCAAAGCAGCAGTAAAATAAAATGTTTTTGGTTTTTTTTTTTTTTTTTCAAAGGTTTGCAATGTATACTGTCTGTACTTAATTACTTAAACAAACTTGTTTCGCAAGCCACGTCTTTTTATTTCAATATCTCTTTCTTTATTGATTCATGCATCATAATATAGACTGGCACCAGTTTAAAGGTCCAAGCCGGGTGGTTGTAGGTAACTTAATTTATTCACAGCTGAAAAATCATGCGAGTCACGTGCGTCATAAAGTGACTTCCGTAACTTTTTTTTTTCTTCTTTCTCTTTGCAAACTTCTCATGACTTCCTTTTTATTTTAGTCTTCTTAAGACTTAAAGTTGTGTTTTTCTATCTCTTTATTTTCAAATTGGAAAATAAAAATAAAATATGGATTCAGAAGCAAGTAGTAAAGTGAGTATCTTAATTTTTCATCTAAAAATACGTTCTTTGATATAATTTTAAAATTAAAACACCGATTATTATTATTTTTTTTTTTTTTTTTACTTTTTAAAAACTTCTTGTTGGGAATGGTGGAAAAATAGTGAAATATCTTTAATAAATTGATAATATCATATTATAATATATTATTAATAAAAAAAAAATATCAAAAAAAGAAAAAAAGTAACCAAACGCAAACAAACCCGGTGTGGAAAAGAGCAGAAAAGTTTGTTGTTTTTCACCAATTTTCTTCAAATTGTTTCTCAGGTATTAATTAGTTCATTTTTTTTTTTTTTTTTACTTTAATACTCGTTCTTATCCCAACACTAGAAAAATAGTTTAGTTTACACAATTTTTACAATGTTCTTTTACTTTTTATTATTGATAGACACAAAATATGACGATAAATAAATTTAATTTAACTTTTTCTTAATACAAGTTTTTAGCCAAGCATTTTTCTTGCCTAATCCAGGAATACTTCTCCCTTGTTAAACACCTCTCCAAAATGACAATCGGTAACTTGATATTTAAAGAAAATGTGAGTATTACTGAGTTTTAAATTCGCCCAAAATGTTAAAAAAAATACCTATCGCAAATATTAATTCACCCCAAGAAATTATAAATTTAAAATCAAGTTTTTTTAGTTTTTTATTAATTTTTTTTTTTTTTTTTGCACTCTTTTGAAATTTATAAAATTTTTAAATCCAACAAATTAAATTTGTTCAGCTTGCCTCGCAACAACTCCAACCCTCAGAATTAAAAAAAAAAAAATTACCAAAAATCTGGGATTTCATTTTTATTTATTCACATTTTTCGTAAGTGCGGATGATATTCGAGGTACTTAAAGATTTCTTTTACAACTTTAAAAAAAATAAATAAAAAGTCTTTTTTTTTTTTTTTTTTTTAATCGGGATGAACGCGAATGTAAACTCTACATTAGGAGCGATCGCAAAGGTCAGATCAAATTTAGTGCAATGGAAGGGCCTCGCCCTGGGAGAATTTGGTGTGAATTTTTTTTTAGTAAATATAAATTCTTTTTATTTTTGGGTGAGGGTTAATTAAAAAGATCCTACAAAATAAATCGTATTCATAATCTCTGAAAGACACCATCAAAAGGACAAGTTAAGAATTCTGGTCCCTTTTAGTTTTTTATTACCAGTCTCTCTGTCTAGCTCCCCAAAATAAGCTCGATTTTAGTTTACCCTGCACACTTAGGAAAAAGCATTAGTAAGTTTAAGTAATAATTTTTTCTTTTTTTCAAACGGAAGAATTGAATTAAAATTTCCTATGTCGAAGTTTTTGTTTTCTTTTTTTTTCTTTCTTGAGTATTATTAATTTTTTTGTCATTGTTTAAGAAATTTAATTCAGTTGTTTCGGTAAGCGTGCCGATATAATTCAACTGAATGTGATTGGCTTTGCTTTTATAGAATGTGATCTTCGTTTCATTCAGTAATGTTTTGTTCTTTTTAAGAAAAATGTAAGTTTTAGGGCCAGTTGAAATGATTTTAAAAAGTGGAGGGTGTTTAGTTTAAGTTAAATGCTAAACTGAACCCTGACTTTCAGCCAATAACTTAAACATAAATATTAATAAATTAAAAAATGTAAAACTGGACTCTGACTTATGGTTGCAAAAGGCAGAATTCAGTTGGAATATGAACATGTTTCAAAGTTCAAATATCATTATTTTTTATGTGTTAGAGACATTAGTAGACATAAAACTATTATTAAAACAGTAAAAGAATGATGAAAAAGGTAAAAAAAAAAACCTTCATATGGAATAAAATGAAATTTTAAGTTTAACTTAAGGAACCTTTTTATTTTCTGATAATGTCATGTAATGTCTACAAAGACCTGTACATTTAAAAAACTATTCAAAATTCTTTTTAAAAACACAGGGTCAATA